TATCTCTATTTTTTTTTATCATTTATTGATTTTTATTATAATTTTTTTGCTTGATTTTTGTGAGCTGCTCAGAGTCATTGTGAATTGGGCAGCATACAAGTTTAATAAATTATTAAATTATTATTATTATTATTCCTGAGGATTAAAGAGACAGTAAATATGGGTTTATAGCAATATAGACCTGTTTCTTATACACATATAAAGCCATGTCCCCACTTGACCCCGCCTTTGTCTCATCTCCAACCCGTGAGTGAGACAGGCTTAAGTTGTCTTCAGTTGTCCTGCGGTTAAAGCAATGTTTTCCCCTTCAAGCCAACAGCAATGTATAAAAACAATACTGTTGGGTTGCAAGTTGTATACAAACTGCCAGGTTCTGTGAGCCCTGGGTCAGAGTTTAAGTCAGGTGACTAGTAGTACATGGGATCAGAGAGGCACTTACTCTTTCTTTTAGGCTGAGGTAAGCATGGCTCTCCTTGCTGTCCCTTGCCTATATAAAGAAAGAAAAAAGAAGGGTGGTAAATTCCTAAATATAACCAATGCTTGTGAACTTGGCAACCTTTGTGATACTGATCTTTTTTTCTTTAAAAAAAAGCTGTCTTCAACTTGGGTATGGCAGAATGGGTTATAGGAAGGGGGCAAAGGAATGGTTGGATAGAGTCCTGCAGTCAGTCCTGCCTCATTCCTTCTGCTGTGCTTGATTCGTGGACGTTTTTCCTGTGTGGCTGACAACTTGCTGAAATCCAGAAGAATCAAGCAAATGTTTTGTCTCTTGCAGACAGCATGGGCATGATTAGGACAGCCCCATTTAGCAGTGGCTCAGAATAGACACTAAATAAGCATGAGGGAGCAGCAGATTGCACCCCAGTACAGTTTTCTGTTGATTGAGAGATGAGTGGAGAACTCTTTAACTCATCAGCAGGAAAAAGCTTCTTTTCCAGCCCTGATCATTTCAGCTTTAGAATGTCTGCTCTGGCGGTCAGCTGGCTTGGCTGAAGACCCCTCTTACATATCAGTCTGGGAAGCTATCACAGATAGCTTTTAATTAGAACAAACATTTCACTGTCTGAAAGAACAACTGATCACTTGTTCTTTCAGACCTGAAGATGTATTCATATACTAGAAAATATTCATATACAGTACACATATACTAGGAAATGTCTCAGTCTGGAAAATCCCATATACTTTTTTGAGCAGGTTTACACTTCAGGAACATATATTAAAACTAGGGGCATCTTACTATCTTTCAGACTGTGAAATGTTTTTGTTCAGAGAGGAGCATTAGATTTTTCAAAAACTACTGTCTTAAATAATTCCACCAAATAAGTGCAAATGAGTTGGTGCTGATGACAGCTTTTGAAACAAACACCTAAGAGTATCTTGATAATCTACAGTACACATATCCATAACTATTTTTGTTTCTTCAAACAGAAATATTCCAGACAATGTTACTGTCACACCTGCTGTAACAGAGAAACCAGAAGGTAGGTACATTTTCCTGCCATTATCAAGCAGATCCAAATATCTTACTTTACAATAATTTGTTATTTACTGTTTTCTTTACAAAAGATCACTATGCCTAACTTCAAATGCCATATTTTTGCTTCAGTGAGAGAGGAATGTATGAAAGAAGCCCTGCAGAATATATTTAAAAATAATAATTGGAAAAGCTACAAGGAGAAGGAAGAGACTATTTTTTTACAAAGGAAAACAGCTGGAAGTGGAAAAAGTTGAGGTTTCCTCAGCAATTCCTTTCAGTGGTTGCAGCCTCAGGAGGTTTTTTCTTTTTCCATTAAAACAAAATGAAAAATATTGTGGGTTTGTTCTGCATATGCTTTGAAACGTAATTTGTACTTAATGCATTTAATTGCAGCCTCATCTTGTGTATTCCAATCCAAAATGTGATCTTCTGTTCATTTTCTATGCCTATAAGAAGGCTGGTCTTAAGTAAAACATTTTCAAAATAAGTATATGCTAGACCGCCTGTCACACTGGAAATGTCTGCAATTTTCTCTATATTGCACATAGTATGCAGTCCCACATGCAATTAAAGGTTCTAGCTTATTGGAATGTTTTTAGCTTATTGTAGAGAATTCTTCCACCTTCCCTGTTGAGGGATTCTAGCATAGTGCACTTACTCTAGGATCATGTAGGTTTTTATGGGTGATGTCTTTCCTTATATAAGCCTTATCCTGAAACTGCTTGAAACACTGAACCTATTAATTTTCTTCTTTCCAGTCTTTTACAATTTTTATTTTCTTCAACAGTGATTAAACATAGTGGAGAAGTCCAGATAACTGATATCACTGAAAACAGTGCTAAGCTGCATTGGACAATTCCTGAGCTTCAAAAAGTCTATGTCTATGACATCACAGTCACCTCAGCACATGACCATTCCTTAGCTGTGAAGCTTAATTTAACTGGCAATGAACGAGTCATTGGAGGTCTTCGGAGTGGACAAAAGTATTATGTTGCTATTACAGGCTACCACAATGCTCAGGCCAAAGCTACTTACAGGGGAGCATTTAATACAAGTAAGTTACCTTGGGGTATTGGATGCATTGTTTTTTCTATCAACTCCAGATGTTGGACATATGAAGAGACAAACAAATACATTGTACTAATAATAATGGCTCATGCCTAATCAATGCTATATATTGGGGTCACATGTTTTGAACAACACTATAGTTGGTAGTGAGACACTCATTTGATATTGGCAGTAGATTTTTAACAGCAAAAAATAAAAAGATGGTATTGTGATTATTTGATCTAGGATTTCCAAGTGTCTACTCAGAAAGAATGATGCTCTCTTCCCACATTTTTATATTGCTAAAGCATAATATTTAGTGCAAAACATAATTCTGAATGAGAAAGTTCCTGATTTGAATATCACCTTTGTTAGGAGCCGTTCTAGACCTCAGGCAAGTTTGCTCAAGATGTCCCTTTAAAAAAGAGGGCTCATCATACTGACCTGACTTATTGGATTAATGATATAGTCAGGTGTTACTTAGTATTTCAAATATTTCACATACTATTATTATTAATAATATATTATTATTGCATATTATTAATAATATAATATTACATATTATTATAATAGTTCCATGACTTTAATGGATTCCTAGGCCTTGTCCTTGCTAAAATCATGATATTAAAACACACCATATCTTTCTTGTTCTTTATGTAACATTACATACAAAGCTGAAGAAGTGTTTTCTAGTTTTGCTGATTGATTTTGCACTCTGTCTCATGGTGACCTTCAGGCTGGATGTAGATAGAAAAGATGACGGTACTGCTGTGGTTTGAGCCCATCCTCACAATTGCTTGGCTTTCTTTCTACAGAGAGCATGCCCGTGGCCAAAGTGCCTTCAGCAGCAGCAACAAATGTAATGGTGAATACCGAACCTTTGGAAGTCCCTGAAAAAGGTGAGTCCAGTGCTGTGAAAGATGTCAAAGGTGTGGGAAATGGAAGTTTGGATGGATTAAGCTGTGCTCCCAGCAGAACATTTTAAAGTGGCACTAATGTGATATGTGACCTGAAACAAAGGACACTGGCTGATTTTTGTGGAACAGTAGAATGTGTAAATTAAAGGATAAACATAGTGTTCCAAGGAACTTTTTATCCCAAAGTAAGGGCAAATTGATTCATGATTACAAAGCCCAGATGCCCCATACCTTATGCCAGTGCTTCCATTAACTAGAGCCAGCAAGTAGTGCCATTATAATTGATTCTCAGTGAAGCATGATAGGTCTGTAGAAGTAAAAGCTGGTGATTTTGGAAGTTCCAGAAGAGCTAAAAGGATGCTCAGATGAAATGTACCATATCGTGCATCTCTTCCATAGTGAGATGCATTGGTTCCTAGTATGTATGTATGTATGTATGTATGTATGTATGTATGTATGTATGTATGGCGGCTTTTCACATTGTATGAAAGCATGAGAAAAGGAAGCATGACTGGCTTGCACAGCCCTAGGAGAGTATCTTGGGACAAAAATGCCCACAACTGCACTGTTCACAGCTCCTGTGACACTAGTACTGGTAAGACATCCTTCAGCATTGCAAGGTTTAAGGCTTTGGAAAGCAGCATGGTATATGCATTCCCATACCTCAAACCACACAGAACGTTTGGCCTCTCTGATTCTTTTCTGAAATCACATTTTTGGTGAATTCAATCTTAATGAGGGAAACTGAATTTGAACTTACTTCTGAAAACTCGTAAATAAAAAATCCTAGGAGCAGATTGCATTTCTTTGATGAGTAAAGCTAGGGAGACTTGCTCAGCTGTCTTAACTACCTCCTCCTCAAAAGAAGACCCACCACCATTGCTCTAGCAGTACTTCCCAGTTGTCGTTTGGAGGACAAACGTTGGCTCTTCAGGATCATTCCCTCCTTGAGCAGGCAATGACTTAGCCTACATCCTGCAACTATGCAGTGCTTCGGATTTCGTTTCAGAAAGGTGCACATTGGTGCAGATCTACCCCTATCTGCAATGCTTACAAAGTAGCCATGCCTTTTCTTTGTGCTACATCAAATGGCAGCTGCATAGGGCAACTATGTGATCCGGAGAAAAGAGACAGCTGTTTTAAAGAGTTGTAGACAGGTGCTGTGTTCATGTTCCAAAGGTTCATTTTTAAACTACTTCCAAAGCCCTGCCAGCCCTCATACATAAAGGCCACCACCCATTCTACCATAAAATGTTTCTGGGGGTAGTGGAAAATATATTTTCTTATGGCTCATTGGAAAATGCTTAGTTACAGTATGTGATGTTGTGTTACTCTGTACAGTCTTGTGCTCATTTGTTTGCCATGTGTTTGCCATTCCTCAAAGCATTAATTGTTTATTTGTGTAACAAATCATTCATGAGTCACTGTTTGTGCTGAACTCAGTTATTAACAATATGTAGATAATTCACATTTGTTATGAATGCGTGATTGCGTTAATTAATTCCAATAATCTTTTTGTTATAATAATTATTTTGTATTAATGACAAGTGTATGAAACTGTCATATAATTTTAATGAAACATCTGTTAGAATCATTTTTTGTTTTGTTGCCACTCTGATTTGCTTGCTCATAAGATTTTACAAAACTAAGGTAGATATAAGATTTTACAAAACTAAGATGGATATAACTGATAATGGATTTTTTTTTTCAAAATCTGATGTTAGCAGTAAAGATGACAGTCTTTGAATTTCCTTGTGCATTGGCCATTAACAGGAAAAATATGCACCACATAATTCTCTCAAACATCAAATTCAGACATGTATTTTGTTCTGCTTTGTTTTGGCTTCCCAGATTCCATTATTTTTGTTTTCTGTTGCATGTTATGAAGTTCTGGCCTGAAGTGACCTGCCAGACATTTCTAATAATGTTCTTGATCAGGGGTAGAATTCAAATTTTTTAAAGTCTGCAAACTGCTGTAAGATCATCTGAAAAAAAAATGATTAGCATTTCCTTTTATTCAAATTGGTAACTGAAGGTTTGGTGAAAGGTACTGGATATATATTTTCACACAGGCTACCCAGCTGTGCTGTTTTGAATATGTTATTCCCTTTTATGAAGTTAATCAGAGAAAAATGTAGAAAACTAAAGCCTTATAAGAGATAAATTCTGAAAGACAACTTTGAAAATATTCAGGTTTCCAAAGATTCCATGGGAGCTTGGTGGAGATATTTTTCCCCCGAACCATGGTAGATTTTACAATTAAACCATGTTGTATGTTTGTATGTTTTGAACAGAAGCATGGTTTTCTCAGTGGTTATTGATATGGACCATATCTGGATTACAGATTAATTTCTTCAATCATTTTCATCAATGTTTGTCTAATTCTATCATTCTTGTCTTTTTAATGTGTATAATTGCACTTGTTATTTTTCTGTCACCAATTTTCAGCCTGACACAGTTGTTGTAGCACTGAACTGGTTCTTCAAACTCTCTTGTCCTCGTCTACATGTTTAACTTCTTTTCAACTATTCTTTTGCAAGAGAGCCATTGTAAATTTCATGAAATAATGATATCCCTCTTTTTTCGGTCCTATATTTACCCACATATGCCCTTAATATGAGAAGAACTCCCTATAGTAGTTCTCATGTCATATCATACTGCTCTGAAGATGCCATGCCATGACCTTGGGTGCATCCTGTGCTGGGGTGGTGGAGGCAGTAGGAAACTATATGTGTGTGTGTGTGTGCGCGCGCACATTCATCCAAATGGCTGTGGGGACTGCTTCACTGAATAGCCTATGTTTTTGAGACATGATGATGCCTTATTATGCAACTAAGAGAAAGGAATATACTTCAGTGCAGACCCAGAGATCAAAATATAAAGTAAAAGACACAAAAGTTCCAAGTAGGGTGAGTAAAATGATTTTAAAAAAGAAATCCTATGACCAACTTCATTGAAAGAGCTGATTGGTATATATTAGCCCCTAATTAATTGTTCTATTTTATCTTTTCTTTTAAACTTTCTCTCTTTTTTCCCCTGAGTGCTTTAAACTTAGATTTAGGCCACACCATTGTCTAATTCTAACATAATTAACTGTCTTATTCAAATGATCCTAGTCCAACTTAAGCCCTCCAAACAATTGCTGCCCTGCTTTTTGTATTGAGGCAATCTCAGCTCTTGCCAACCAGTGGGCCTCCAGGAATACTCTGCTCCCATCTCCCTAACCCTGACACATTCCTGAACCTGTGATTCAAGAAGCTCTGGTCGGAAAAGAGGACCTGGTTATGGAGAAAAAGAAACTTGAGGATTGTAAATCCAGTTTCCTTCTCCTGGCATGAGGCAGCTATACATGAACAGAGTGTCATAGTATCACAGAAAGTGCTCCCAGGGCCTGGCAACAGCAGACCAATTCACAATGTAGCTTAATGGTCAACTTCCTTGCAAGCTCTGTGTACACACACACACCACCTCCAGGCAGCCAGTTTGCCCTCAGCTGACCAGCATAGCTAATGGTTGGCATCAGTACTGGCCCTTGGTTGAGAAGGCCAACAAATCCAACCAAGTTAGCGAGAAGTAGACCAAAGGTTCCGTAGGAAAAGATCCTGTTGTGCGCTGAAATTCACCTTCTACATCTAAAAGAGTGGGGGTCTTGTGGGAAGGGTATTATTTGTACTGGGGGGAGGGTTGGCCCACTGGTGATAAAATAAGAACAGTGTAATTTGGGGAAAGAACCATACAGTTCCCTTGGGTTGTAAGATTTGCGACTACACCATTCTTGCATTTCCCCCACTCTGCTTTTTATATTTCTGACTGCTCCTCTGCACTGGATTTGGCTAATGACTTAACAGAGGCATGCAGAAATGTAGCACTTTCACAGCCAATCTATGCAAGTGAACCAGGACAATATTTACATGCATGCACTGGCTGCTTGACACGTCTATGATTTGATTAGCAGCGCAAGGTTATTATTTCCCAGACTGTTACTGTAAAGAACATTAGTGAAAGTTTGGTTGTATTCTAGTTCCTTTTCATTTGTTGAAAACGGCTTTTTGTTGGCAACTTGTGCCTTTTTTTGTAGCTTTTAACATTTTCAGGATCATTTAACCTTTGCACATGTTGAAATTCAAATTTGACAGATCCTTGCTTACTGGACCTTGACATGGGCACGCAGTGCAAGGAGTATCAGGTTAAGTGGTTCTTTGACTACAAAAACAAGATCTGCACCCAGGTTTGGTATGGTGGGTGTGGCGGTAATGCCAATAGATTTGAGACAGAAGCTGACTGCATTAGCAGATGTGTGAAGCCATGTAAGTACCCAAATAGGATTAACCCATTTTGTACTTTCAATATTGTGAAACAAAGTTTCCAAGCAGAAGGGAAAAATAGTTTAAACACAAATTCCACACACTTTGTCTCTACAGCAGATGAGAAAGACATGCAGCTTCCTGTCCTTGAGAAAAGTCATTTGTCAGGTAAAGTCAGAAATGGAGAGGATTATACTTCTGACCATTTGTCCTAAAACTGTGTCTTGGATGCTTGCCATGGCCACTGGCCAACGATAACCATACAGTGTGCCTTCTTGCTGCTTTTCCACAATAATAATTCCGTATTTTCTCTGTCTGTTTGCATGCAACCTTAATACCTAAAAAAAAGCAATGTTGGTATAAAAATATTACAGAATGGAGCTGGAATTTATTATTTTCCCACACGGAGAGGGCAGCCTCAGTCGCCAAGATGTACCTCCTCAAGAATGGTAGATGAGCCCTACTTCAGATTCCATCCGTGGATGAACTTCATAAATTAGCTTTATCTCTGTGGCAGGAAATGGTGCCTGTATCTGGGCTACAAAAATCCAGATGATCACAAGGTAGCAGCAAAGAGGTAGGGTTTTCCTTTTGCGGCCCAAATACAGTTACCCTAACTTATAGAAGCTCTTTGAACTCCGTTTTTCTTTTTTTAAATTGAAAGTACTTTCAGTACTCTTTATTGTCCATCTGTAGACTTAGAACAGGCATTCCCTTGTTTAGTGGACAGTGTAGCCATTCCCTACCACTAGATCAAAGCAGGCCAATTTGCCATGGCACTTTTCTCCATCCTGCCTTGCATTTAGAACCAGAAGCTAATATGAGTTCTGCAAACTCAGATACTTCCTTCCTACCGAACGTCTCCCACTTAGTGGAATGCAAAAGAAGTCAGGGTTTGGGCCAAGGGGAGAAAAATACTGCTTCTTATATCTCTAAAGATATAAGATATAAGAAGCAGTATCCTGTAAGTTTTTTTCTGCCATCCTCACGTCCTGAATCACTTCAATTGGTTTTGGTAGGGAAATCTACCTCTGAATAGGACAGCTAATAGTCTCTGACTCTAACAAAATCAAAGCAGCTAAGAATGGAATGAGATGACTTTGTCATTAAGTAGGTTTAGAGAAACTCCTTGAAATTTAAAAAAAATCTTGGACAGCCAATTTAGAGCATATTGAGCTGGATGGGTTAATGATCCGGCTAAATATAAGGCAGCTTCCCACATTCTATCCTAAAAGCAGCCTTTGGCATTGGGCATATCAGAACATCTTCACAGCTGGGTTGTGAACTGACATTATCAGTCCCAGCTGATTATCAAAACCTTCAATTACAAGATCTTTGGAGCCCTCTGTTTAGCAGTTCTCATGGATGAAGAATTTTAAAAATGTATGGCAAAAGGGACCAGAAGACAACCATTTTCAGATCTTTGGATCTCAAAATCTTACATCCAAACTACACATTTAGATGGGTTTCAAGAACTTGTGGGGAATGTCCAAGTCACTATATCCACATATTCTTCTGCTGCCAGTTAGGTCTCTATTTATCCTAATCTTCAAAGCAAGTTTGGAGATATCTCCGCACACTGCCATTTGGATATTGAAAGACAGGAAATAAAGTGGTCTTAATGTGAAATTTATTTCGTTTCTCATTCATTCCAGAAGATTGTCTTCCATCTCTTCATCAAGAGCATTTTGTTCTAAGGTCATATGGAGCTGGTTGATAGAACTGATAGGAAAGGTTTTATTTCTTGTATGGCATTATGCTAAAACTTTGATTTAATGGACCAGAAGAATATCTACTATATCTGAATGTCCATTAAATCTGAATGTACATGATTGATGTACGGTTTTAATACTGAAAGCTACTATTTTCATGATCCATAAAGTATTTTATTTCCAAATTGAATGGTGTTATAGGGCCTGAGCTGGCCTTTTCCAGTTCATGTTTGGGAATCCAGTGTCTGGCTCCTCTAATGGAATCAGAAGGTAGCCTTGCCATTCAATCAGGAGGAGATGCTATTTTGGATGCTGAAACTGTCCTCCAGATATAGTGGAGCACTAGAATTTATGTTAATATTGCTCTATGATGAGCATGTAAAAATGTTAATTTTTATTACTGTTAGTTGTATTGTCTTTGGCGTCAGTAAGATGATCATTTATGTATTTTAATTTATGTATACTTATAATGCTGATTTATGAATATTGCAATGTTGGCTACTGTTCTTTGCTGAAATGAGAATGCTTCTAGATAATAATACTACTAGGAGCACCGTCAGAGCCTCAGAAGTTGTGTGTGAATTGGTTAAGCTTCAGATGAATTTTTTTAGGAACATTAAAAAAAGCAGGCCATTCATTTTAATAAAGTCCTCAGAGTTACATAATCCTTTGTTGGCTGGTCCTGAAGTTCTGTACACCTAACCCATAAGAGATGCCTATCTGTGTTTTCATGAAAACCAGCTGGGGGCGGGGTGCAGGGCTAGGGATTCCACAGATATTAAACCACTCATAGTAAGCAAGTAGTCAGAATTTGGGGAAACTAGTGCCTAGATACATGTGTATAGCTTTATAACCCTACTTAGTTTTCTACTAAATATAAAGTAATTTAGACAACTCCTTTCTTGTCATGGTTATCCATTGCTTCTTGGACTGTTCCCAACAGATATGGTGTATACAACAATGTTATTCTCTCTTGCTTAGGCATTCTTCTAAATATCTGAAAATTGCCCATGTAAAAGGTGACATTACATTAGGACAATGCTCTTTAGGGCAGGGATTAGCTAGGAATGGGTTGTGATACAGAATACTACAGAGTTCACTTTAGTTCTCCATCCCTTTTTATTCCTAAATAGTGGCTCTAGGAATACCAATCTCCCCCGTCCACCCACCCTAACCCTAACCCTAACCCTAACCCTAACCCTACCCTGCCTGTAGGAGTTGCTGACCTGGCATAATGCTAGTCAAGGGATGAGGTAGCATAACAGCCAACTAGTAAAATCTAATCCTGGCATTCTACATTAACAACTTCAGATCAGAGCAGCCAGCATCATTACCACCTCTACTGTAAAACCTGAAGCAACTGACAAAACCGCCCTGAGATTATTCACTTTATATAATAAAATTTCTGGCATTTTCACAAACAGTTTCTGCTGAGCAGAAGGCCACTGCAAATTCAATTCTCATCATCTGCAAACAGGGCTAGGAAAGACTCCAGCCTGAAACCCTGGAGCTCCTACAAATCAGTGTCAATACTACTGAGCTAGCACTGGTTAGTCAAAATAACCAAGATTTAGAAAGTTCATTAAAACGATAAAATGAACATGGAAATGTGTACATGTTAAGTATTAAGAAAACAAAAGTATGCTTAGGGAATTCACTGCTGATAGGAAACAAGTGAAGGAGATGGATAGGTTTTCTTTTCTTGGGCACAATATGAGATGAAGCTGAAGAGTGTGTTGGAGAAGAGAAGAACTTAAGGAGAAAGAGAAAGAGAAACGTTCATGAAAGATAAGAACATTTCAGTGATCCTAAGAATCAGAATAGTTAAAGCAATAGTCTTTTTAGTGGTAATGTAAATCATGGAAGCGGGCATGGCAAGAGAATGAAATAAAGTGTTTTTTTTTTTTCAAATTATGGATCTGGAGATAGCACTAAGTATCAGAGACAGCACTATTAACCAATCAGTTGGCCCTGGAAACAATAAAGACCAAATGCTCCATTGAGGCCTTTTTAAAATTAAAAACTACAGCAAGCAGAAACTCACACATTTGGTGCATATCATGCAGATGAATGATGATCTAGAAAAAAACAACTATATTTGGAGAATTTAAGGAAAGAGGAAAAAGGAGGAAGAGGAAAGGATCAAGGAGATGCCTGGAATGACTTTTGGAAAAGTCATGGATTGTTGTATGCCAGACACAGGTTGAGAAAACAGGCATTTGTCCATAGAGTCCCCAGGGTTGGGCCCAACCTAATTAACTAATCAGATCTTTCAATGGGGAGGCATATTCCTATTTTGCATTTCCCTAATTGGGTTTTTCTGAACTTAACATTGCCTGAAGTATGTTTTCAAGAAAGGTGAAAATATAAACTAAATAGTTAATTGTCAAGCAGCACCCATTAGTGCAGCAACAAGAAATGGTTATTTTAAAAAGTTCTTCCAGGAAAGGGGCATGCAGGTAAACGCTATTGAATCAACTTCCCATTGTCCATTTTGTCTGAAAATACATTGATACAAATTTTAGTTGTAACTTTATGAAACACTCTTAGTAAATATAAGTTTGGTGTCTTTACCATTGGTTTCAGAAATGAATTCAGTAACATTTGTAATTAAGAGTCTGTAGTGAATAGTCTCATCTATTTAACTGAGATCCAAATTTTTAATACAGGAACATTCCCAGGAAGAACTAATTGCAAAATTCATTTTTATCACAACACCACCCTGTTGAATGGTGGAATCCTTTAGCTGGTCAATTGGAATTGGTGAAATAATAGGGTGTTCCATGGTCCCTGCATCTTCTGCATAATATTAGAACTAAATAACAATAGAGCCAAGAATTGTGTTATTAACAAGCCCACAAAAAATCACAATAAACTGAACAATATCCTTTGGCTGTATGAAAAACAATAATTTGCTCCACAAATTGTGGGGATACTTGATTGTTCATTGATTTTTTATTTGTGTAAGATAAATTGTTATGAGGAGAAAATGAAGCACAGAATTGTTGCATCTTCTTTTTTAAGAAGGCACTCTAAAATAATAACATTCAGAACAAAATTTAGTTACATTTATTTCCACCCAGGCTCTAGGTTGTGCATGCTCATTATAGGCATCACAACCATAATAACATAACTGGTCTCAACATTTGCAGGACAGAAAGTGCACATGAAGAATTTATCCAGGAGGAAATTTCCAAGAAGGAAATTAAGAAGCAGAGCAAAAAAGGTAGCAAGAGCAGGTATGAGAAAAATAAAAGAAACCTGAAATTAACTGGATCAAGTATGTATTGAAAGGTGATAGCTAATAATCATACCTACAACAAAAACAAGAAAACAGGCAAAGAGGTAACTGAATAAAATCAGGTTAGTGGTAGAGTTCCCGCTTGGCATAAAGAAGGTCCTGAGCTCTGTTCTAATCAGAGTAAAAAATTCTTCACTAGATGTTTGAATGGTTGGTCTCACTGATCCAACTTCATAAGCTTATCAAACATTTTTTAAGTGAACTAACTTATTTGTACCATCAATAGAGAGAAAAAGTTCACAATATTAGTTCATACAGAATGGCAAAATTCTATGTTAAGCTCTTCCTGGCCCTTTTTTCAGTAAGGAGATTAAAATAACAAAGCAATATCACAAAAAGATAACTGCAAATGCTACAGCCACTGAAGAACCGTAAATATCCAGTAACAACCCAGAGTGGTGGCTTTTAAATCCCCTTCCCACCTTTTCAGGTGCCAAAATTACATTTGTCTTTTTTCAGCCACATATGACTGTAAACATATTCAGTTTACAATAAACTACTATTCCAGGTTCTTTTCCATAAGCATTATTGCCTAGCCAGGCATCCTCCACTCTCTACCTGTGCATTTTGGTTTAATGTTTTCTAAGAGCATAACTTTACATTTGTCTCTGTTCAGTTTCATTCTATTATTTTCAACTCCAGGTCATCTCAACATATAATCTGGATCGCAAACCAAACTAAAGAGGCTCTAGAGCTCCTGGAGTTGCAGAGCTGCCTTGTTACCAAGGTTTAAATATGAAATGTTGGATATTGGGTTATAGTTATAAAAATAGACATCTTAAGCAAGGCTTCTATCAGTTTTAAATTTCAGTCCTGCTCCTTCATGCTACTCTTCACCATTGTCTGGTGGAATACATACTGTCTTTTTGAGAAGACCTCATGAGCCAAAATAGAAGTTGAGCTGCGAACACTTCCTTGTTATCTCACAATACTGCCATCTTTACTGAGCATTAGCACTTATGGAGCAGTTAGTATATAGGGGTTTTTTTTCTTTTGGACAAATTGGAAGAAGTCTTTTTACTGTTCCTAGTTTCAGGGATTTAGAGTTTTGGACAACTCTACAATCCTGGATTACCTTTATGTACTGTTCCCTTTCAATCTCATATGTGTGTCCTCTTTTGTTTTCAGAACTTCAGTAAAGTCTTTCTGCAGCTATACTGGCTGCTTCTGTTGTTTTCTCTCCCGGGGGGCACCATTTGTTTGTAAACGTGCATTTAGTATCTCCTTTTTTTGAACTCCCATCCATCCCAGGCTCCTCTTCCCATTAGCTTTTCCTTTTGAGGAAGCCTAGTTACTATTGCTCTTACTATTAAAATCTGCTTTCTTGAATTCCAAGATCTATGTGACACCACTTAGCTTTAATTTTCTTGAAAATGTAACACTGTTTTTTTCCCCACATTCCTTTAAAAGAGAGAGAGGCATTTGCTGGTATAACAGGTAGAAACGCAAATATTTCTCTTCTCTCACTTGCACCAGCAGGAAGTAAGATATCTCAGAGGATTCAACAGGAGGCTGTAAGGCAGAAATAGGCATGTGAAGAAAAGGCATGCCTTTTTACCAACTGTTATTTTCAAGATTTCCAAAAGCTGCTATGCCAAAAATGTTGCTCTTTACACTCAATAGGAAGTTCACAGATACTTTGTATTTGGATAATTACAGGTAGTCCTTGGTTAATGACCATTCGTTCAGTGACCATTTGAAGTTATGACAGTGCTGAAAGGAGACTTGCAGCCGGTCCTTGAAGTTGTGGCTGTTGCAGCATCCCCATTGTCACATGATTGCAATTTGGGTGCTTGGCAACCAGTTCACAATTACAACATTGCAGCATCCTGTGGTCATGTGATTACTATTTGCGACCTTCAGTGCCAGCTTCCCACAATGGGGAAGCCAGCAGGAGGTCACAAATGGTGATCATATGATATTGTGCCTAACAACCACATGCATTTCCCCTCATGACTGCAACTGAAACTGCCAAAATTGCCATGGTAAGTTGGCACAGTCACATGACATCGTGCTTTACAACCGCGTTGCTTAGTGACAGAGTTTCCAGTCCCAATTACTGTCATTAATCAAGGACTACCTGTACTCCATCCAAGTAAGATAATTATATTTCCCCCCAGAATTGCATGCACATTCATTTTTTAAAAATGAATTAAAAGTCCATTTTGCCAATTTTCTTACCAATAGCTATCTGCAAATCACTGGAATGTCTTTATTCACATCAAATATTTTTAACCACACGTTTTCCTGGACAACTGTTTTAAATAAAGAGAGGAGTCTGTTGTTCTTTCAGTCTCCAGGGAAAGTCTTCTTCAGTTAGATTATATAACTGCAGCTCATCCAAGGCCTGCCTGGGTCATATATTTTGTAGACTGTGCAGCACTTCAAATTCAGGAGCCCAAAGGTGCTGTGAAGCACGTGGGATGTGAACACAGCACCTGTTAGCAGCCACGCCTTTTCCTTCGATCACATGTCTGTCCTCTGCAGCTGCCAGCCTAGGCTGGGCAAGATGGGTTTGGTTAAGAAGTTGCCAAGAACTCTAACGTTAGCAACTTTTTGCCTTCAAATTTGGAGCACTGCATAGCTCTAGTATTTTGTTTTATTTCTTTTTTAAGTGAATAAATAGCAAATGCAAACTATTCCTGGTTTCATGAATATCTTCTGAATCAAGGAGAATATCCCAGGATGGACTCTTCATTTTCACTCTCTTCCCTTTCCTGAATAGCATGTATTTTGCCATGGATTCCTTTTAAATTAGAAAATTGATGCCCTGATGCATGAAGTGTTAGCAAACTAATGCAGTTTAGGATGCTATTAGTGCATTGTGCGTCTGCAAGCAAGTTATTCTACTTTGAATGATACACCTGTATGTTCTTTTTCTTTTTCTTTTTTACATTGGGCTTTGGATCATTTCAGATTTTATTTATCTGATTTGGAGGTATTCGCTCAAAATTTATCTGGAAGGTGTTCAAAATTATCTCCATATTAAAAATACATGGAAAGTGAGAGATTTAATCTAAGTTTCTCTTTGTATGAAAAATAAATGATTAATTTTGGATTTTAATGATATGCAAGTGTAATAAATAAATACGTGGCATTGAATCCATGTTCATATTTAGATACTTTAAAACAAATTAATCCTATGTGAGACTCGGGAGTAATACTGTTTGTGTGAAAGGACTGAGCCATTTTTTAAACATATGTGTAAATTAGGCTCAAAGGAGCACCAAATTGGGCAGCATCGGAGGGCAGGCCATTGAAGAGATCAGGCGTTTATGATGATGACAATATTACCAAAGGGCCAGCACAATTTTCAACCATGACATTATTGCTAGAAATATTATCATGGCATCGTAAGCAATTGGCACAAGTACTTTGAATGCCCTCCTTTTTCCCCATCATTTAGAAATTTTAACCCAGACAGCTGAAAATTAGAACGATGCAAATAATTATTTTATGGAATAGCTAGGTTTGACCTACCTTTCAGGGATCACTGAGTAATTCTTAGGCTTAAGAAAATGCAGGCTTACATAATTTATCTTGATGTTATTAAAAGCTAAAATTGTTTAAAGGAAGCACAGAACAGGAAGGTGACGTGTGTAATGTGTTTGATTTGATTAATTATATTTGGTCTGGATATCACTGTACTAAACACACACACACACAGAGAGAGAGAGAGAGAGAGAGAGAGAGAGAGTCTTCCAGGTGTTGAGTGCAATTTCTGCCGGCTATATAGGCACATCCATGTAGTTCTCTTGGCAGCTATGTAGAAGTCCTTTGCCACTTGCCATTGCCTTCTTCCAAGATATTAGACTTCCCAGCCTCTCTGGGGTTTTCTGATGGTCTCCCAACTAAAGACTAAGCACATAAGACCCTCTTTGCTTTTTTCTCAGATTAGCCAAGATCCTGGTGGCTGCTACCCATTCACCCAGCTGCATAAACATATATCACATATTTATGGGTGATACTCATAAAAGGATACCTTGCGTCTATTGTGCTTAGTATACAAAGGAAGTGTTAGTAGACCTGATATTGCTTAAGCAGAATGTAAAAGTCTTGCTGACTTTTGAAATTAATGAAGCCATATCAGAACTAGCAAAATTTCTCTCCCCCACCTGCCCTTTGTTGATTGGGACATACACATCTACAAAATGCCCAGTTACTGACAAACCATGACCCAGCAATCCTCATTTGTTATCTGAAAAAAATATGCCAGCAAAAAATAGGTTATAAATGCTTATTTCTCAACAAGGCACATATCGTTATTGAGTAGATATTAATTTAGAAAAGGTAGTATTTTAAATGATCATCAATGGTGATAGAACACCACAGATACCTGAAAAGACATCATCATCAGGAGAACATTGTATATTTCTGACGTTTTGGCTTTTTAAAATTGAATTGCTTATTGTATATTTTTACTTGGTACTTGTATATAGCTTAATTTCATAACTCCTTGTAACTGTATCAATGTAAGCAAGATCTAAAGTTCTCTTCTTTCTAAGATACCTTCCAGGAATTCCATTGGCCTTACTTGTTCCTTACTTCCTCTTTTGGAGGTGATTTCTGTCTTTTACTACAGATCATCCTTTATTTTCCTTTAATTCTGCATGCTGCTATACATAGTAAAACTCAATACAACTTTATATATATGTATCACTGTTCCTGAAGGAAGCATGCTCATTGTCACTGAAAATCCTTTATCGTCATGTTCAAGTGAACATGTGTGAACTTAAGTGTGAGGAATATTCACATAGAGTGTTTAGTTTCTTTATACTGAGTGGTGTACTGATTATTTGTCTCTTGGTTTGCAGTCACAGATATCTGTCAGTTGAAAAAAGAAGATGGTCCTTGCAGGGATTTTGTTCTAAAATGGTACTTTGATCCAAACACCGCAAGTTGTGCTAGATTCTGGTATGGTGGCTGTGATGGAAATGAAAATAGATTTAACACACAAAAAGACTGTGAAAAAGTCTGCATTTCAGGTAACAGATAGACAAATGTTTAACTGCATGCCTTTATTTTTGAGAGTAAGTGATTAATAGGTCAATACAACAATTGTGCTAAATTTTCACTGTTACATGGCGTTGTTTATATGGTATTATGCAGACAGATGTTATGGATATTGCATTGCCAGGTCTTAAAACGTAGTGCCAAAATATTTCTAGTTGTTTGCTGGGTTAAATCAAAATCTGAATCAGAGACTAGAAAATAATTTTAAAAAGATAGTACTACTGTAAGCATGTTGGCTTGGTGTAAAGATGCTCAGTTTTCCGTAGTGTATTTTAACATAGTTATTTGAGGTCTTTGTGATTATGTAGACTTAGGTAAATGAGAAAGGAAAAATGTTATAGATAGGCTCTCAAGCCTGCCCAGGGTTGCATGGACAGAAGTCATCTGGACTGAAATGGACTTTTCAACAATGAGGGTGAAACAGCATCCCTCATCACAGCCTACACCAGCGTTTCTCATCCTTGGCAACTTTAAGACGTGTGGACTTCAACTTCCAGAATTCCCCAGCCAGCTATGCACACGTCTTAAAGTTGCCAAGATTGAGAAACACTGGCCTACACTCTTCAGTCAGTCCTGGAACTGCTTTAGAAAACAGATAGTAATAGTTGCTTACTTCAGAATGCTTGCCTACCTTTATGTATCCCCTTAAATTCATCAGACAATATTTTCATGGAAGTGTAGCATTGTTTCAGAATTGAAATTCTAATAAAACATTGTTCCTCTTCTAGCTCACATCAAGCCTGGTGTTATCACAAAGATTGGAACTTAATTACAACAAAACATCAACAGATACCTCTAAGAAAACCAGGAGTCAGCCATTGCCAACATACCCCGTGTAGAAGCTAAGGGTATAGGCTCCCTTGCACTGTGCTATTTCTGCTTTACTTTCTAAGCAAACCTTGAAGAAAGTGTTTTGCTGCACAATTTTATCAATATGGTGCTAAAGTGTTTGTGGACTGAACGCTCAATGTGTCTGGGATATACTCTATAATTTCAAAAGTATGTACTATTTACCTACCACCAATTTTACTTGTTTCAACAAATTAGTTTACTTTGGATTCTACCAGGATGCCTGATTTGGCCAATGTAAAGATTATAAAAGAATGTGGAAAAAAAACACTGCCACTGTTATATACTTGCTTTTATCATTGTCATAACTGAACATAACTTTAGATGGAAAGCCTTATGTCTGTTCTGAAAAAAAAGGAGTCCAACTTTTCATTCTATTTTTACTCTTGCTGGATTAGATTTTATATCAGTTCTCTTTTATGCATATGTGATCAATCAGACCAGAAACAAATGCAGCATTTGCTGGTACTGACACACTGCTGGGACCAACAACAGAGTTCAAGAGTTTTTAAAACACGGTGTAGAATGTTTCTGGCAATCCTCTAATATAGTGTGTTTTATAATTTTTAATATTTTTTGCTGGGGTGGGAAGTCTATTTTTTATTATTTTGTTTTTAGGAAATCTTTACGAAAGAACTTTTAAATAAAGTTTAATTGAGGTTTTGAAGGTCTTGGAGTTTCATTGTGTGTGTGGTGGTGCTTTTTACAATAAAAACACGATTCTAGAAAAAATGGACCTTGCAAGTCATCTGGTCTTGTTTATTACACATCAAACAGAACTTAAGACAGTAGCCAGAGCTGTGGAAGCTTAAGACAGCTTTGCGGCTTTTTTACCTGCCTTGAACAGCAAGATAAAGTTCATCTGGGCTATTTGGAAGCTGAGAGTGAAAATCTTCTACTGGAAGGTGACTGGAAAAATGATGAAACAGTGCACCACTAGGCCTTAAAAAAAGCAGCACAGGGAAAGTAGGAAGCTCTGGGAAAGAAAATAGTACTTAAAAAAATATATTGGGTTTCAAATCAGAAATCTTCTACAGTATTTTCAAGGCAAACATCATAACCATTATGCTATTACTGAGCTTATGATCAAAGGCAGCTTTAGAAAGCACGGTAAGCTCATTTGAAGGAGTGTTCCTGCCTTTCCAAAGTAGCCAATGAGCTGATGGGCTTAGCCTACAACAAACTGAAATACAGCACCTGAACCAGACAGGACCAGGTGAAGCAATATAACATACAAAAGTATACACATTCTCATAACTTAGTGACCATGTTCCATTCCAGCGACTTGGTCATTAAGCAAAATGGTTGCTAAATGAACATTTGACTGAGAGAGAGAGATGCTGTGAAGATCACTGGTTGCTGCCCTCTCATTCAGATAAAATTCTCTCCTATTGTGTTCTGTGCCTGACCTGTTCTCCCCCCCACCCCAGCTTTCTTTTGCCCCCTCACGGGGCAGAGAGATTGTTTCACCAAGCTATCTCTTCCTGAGCAGGTTTTCTCCATAACAAGTGCTAACCACAAGTTAACAAGCTCAGCTCTGTGACCTTAATTAGTTGACTGGAACCCTCCCTGCTGCCTAAAACTGACCAGACCTTAATCAGTTTCACACTGAAGGCTTTTGTTGTCAGGCATAGGGAATTTGATCATAAATGTGCACATTGGTTAGAAAACAATTTTTTATTAGCATTGTATTTGCAAATGGTTGCTAACCGAGGTAGTTGCTAAACAAGGAGTAGCTGCATTTAGGAAGTGGAGCAGGAATATGTGCCCTGTGATTGCTTTGCCAGGAAGTGGGATAATAGAGAATAACGTCTATTTGTGCTCTCCAGAAATGGTTGCCTTGCCTGTTCTGGAGACAGGGCAAACAGACAATGTAGATAAACCTAGTTGCCTTGAGCCAAAAATAAGCCTTTTCCTGGGCACAAATCACATGAAGGACATTTCTGCACTTGCCATGTAAGCTGCTCCTCTCCTGTGTTCGTTCAAGCTTAAGATAATCCTGCCTGGACTGAGACACTTTGGCAAAGCTTGCAAGCTATTCAGTCCAGATGCAGGTCACTGTCTCCTCCCATTGGACAATTTCCCTGCTGTGGGGCCTTTCCACCTTTCCGTGGGAAAGAGTCAAGGCTGGCAAGCAGCACCCATGTGCCTTTTTGAAGCAAACCACAGTGCTTCCTTACCTCTTTGAGAATTGTTTTTCCTCCAGAGGGCAAAGCACTTTGCTGGAGCAAAGCCAATTTTCCAGAACTAATGCACCATCTGTCTGCTTGAATGCATTACAGTGGATTTCCTCAAGGAATAGTGGGGATGCTACTGGACTCTTGGCTGAGAAAAGAGTACCTCAAGGGCTGTATAATGGGATGTTCCCTTTTATATGTTATGTAAGATACAATCTTGAATTGTGTTTTTCACTCACCCAACCCACCAAACATATTTCAAGAGACACATTGGCAGGAAACACAGAAGAAGGCAGAAGCAGCAGGAGGAAGACGTTCTTGTGGGATTGCCTCCATTCCCTCCCCCACCACTGCCTGCTTGGCATTAAGGTGGAGTCTTCATTACTTACTAGCTGAGAACATGGCAGTGTTTTTCTAGCCCAGCTATTGTCTGTCTCTTGCGGTGGGCTGATTGGCCCTCGGGACCAGAAAGAAATTTGGGGTTCTGTCAGTGTACGCCCAACCCACTGCCTAATACAATCCTTGACTGAGCTGTCTGTCAGATACTCTTCGGCTTATTGGGCTGGGGACTACAATGTGCCTTTGGAACCTGGGTGGTCTGGAGCAGCTCAGGAGATCATGGCAACCAGGCAAGCCTCTTTGGTCCTGTGCCAACACCTGAAGCAGAGCACCCAGTGAATTTAGTATTTCGATCTGATTGAGGAGTGATGGGTGGGGAGCCTCAGGTTTTCCCACTGTCAGGATAAAATCAGCATCCAGTTAAGGTTGGATTCACAGCTACACTCACATAGAGGCAATGGACTTACTGTAGTGGTCCTCTTAAAAATGAGATTGATTCCAAGAGGCCTCGAAAGTGTTTGTGGCTGGCATAATCAGTAGTTTTGTTGATGCCCAGGATGGTACTTCTCAGCTGGTTGACACAATTTCTCCTAAGTGCCCTTTCATGGTTTAAAGATGTACTGCAGGAGCTGAAGTAGCAAGATAAATGGCTAGAGCCATTAAGGAAGAACTGACTCAGATTTGATACGGCACAGCATAAAGACTGTTTGAAGGTTTATCCTGTGGTGATACATGCAGCAAAGAAACAGATGTTTTCTATATTCATTGTATCTATTGAGTTGTTACAAATTGCAAGAGGGATGATTTATAGCCCCAGATGCTTCTCCTAGAGTTCTTTTATACTCAATGGCTTGTTGCAATTATTTCTGTGAGTTTTTAAGAATTTTTGTGGATAAAATTTCTCATATTCAGATAAGTCTGAATGCCCCCTTAAAGTCAATTATGAGGGTGTATAATAACTTCTATCATTAAACATGATCAGTTTCAATTTGTGATAGGCTTGGAGTGGGGTGTAACATCACCTGTTCTCTGGACTCTTGTCCACTTCAGTTTGTAACTTGTAACTGGAAGCTTATTAAAGACACCTCAGTTAATATCATAAATGTCTTTCTGAGGAAATGCAAGATACATCCTTGTTTAGAAGAGACAATTTTCTAGAGACAACCTTTTCTTAAGAAGCCTGTCCCTCAGTTATGGGCTATAAAAGCCAGTCTGTAATCTTCTACGGAAGGGTAAGAAAGGTTGAAAGAGGGGTGGCTTCTCAACTGCATGCAGCCCCAGAAGAAGCATATTATCTTGACCCATTTCAAATTGGCTTCAGGATGGGTTTGAGGTAGAGACTGTTTTGATTAGCCATATGGATTATCTTTTTGGAAGGACCGACAGAGCACTGTGACTCTGTTGGTTCTTCTTGACCAAGAATATTGGTGATCTTGGGTTCAGGCTACTGTTGGTAAATGCCAGATCCATTTGTAGTAAAACCATGTATTTCCTGATTAGGTGATAACATTATTTGTACTTTCTTTTTCCAGAAATGCCTTTCTTACAACAGGTAATTCAGGGAAAGGGGGAAAGGCCTAGAACTTTGCCCTCTTCCATTGGTTCCAGAGATCTGTGTGGTGCTCATGTGAAGTTTACTACAGGCAGAGCTTGGGTCCCTCCTTTGTATGCAGATATTTAGCTACAGTCACCATTTCAGAAAGGAACTTGGAACAAATCAGAAAATATCACCTTAAGCTTGGTTTCTTGTGCTATATAGCCATCTCCTCTTCTTTTAAGGCAATATTTTCTTTTCCATATGCAGCTGGAGCACAGCGTTTTGAGAGCTGGCCATGCCTCCCATATGATAACAAACTGCTACCATCAGTCTGCAGCTTAGCTTCTCAGGCCTTTTAAGGAAGCAGGTGGTGATGCTGGAAAATATTCAGCAATTGCGTTCCAGTACAGACGTGGAAACAATTGCCATTGGAAGAGCATTTGCCAACGTGGCTGAAGATAGGAGACCAAAAATAACTTGCTGTAGTTCCCCAGAAGCCCTCCACAGGGCTTTGCTTTGTCTGTCATGTGTTCCCCTTTGCTTGAAAGGACAAAGGCCTCACCGCCTTCAGAAGAGCTTCATTATCTCCTGCTATGTTTCACCTTTGAGCCCCAGCAGTTTCTTTTGTCACCAAAGGAAAGATCTAGTCTGGAGCAATAAGGCTTGCCAGAATTAAAGAAACTAAATCATGCTTTTAACTGTTGATTTATAATTGGTTTAGACAATGCAAGTAAAAGAAATAAAATCTGACAAACCAGTTTCTCCTTTCATCAAGATTCAGGGCAAACAGCAGCAGTATGAGAATTAAATGTAATGGATTGTAACAGAACATATGAAATAAAGATCAGAAGTCATGCTGAAGTAATCATACTAGAAACTGAAATATTTTCCCCAGAAGACAGATTCATTAGTGCTGACCTTCCCCTCTTCCTGCAATTCACTTTTTAACTCATGAAGACTCTGATCTATGGCCAGGTTCACACCTTTTGCTAAGTCAGGATGCTGAGTGGCAAAGGAGTGGGAGGTTTTGTCCAGGCACAGTTGAGGGGTGCCAGCTTGGGGAAAGTAGCTCTAGAGCTAGCAGCTATGGTCCTCCTCAGTCATTTCGCTGGCAATCATCAAACTGGGGAAAGAATGGGTGTTCTTTTGCAGCCTTGCCTCCCACCCTTTCCCACCTCTGGACATTCAGCAGAGAACTGAAGGGAAACGTCTTTGCAGCTGCTTGAAAGCCAAGGAGTCAAAGGGAGGTGGGGAAGGACCTGCCTGCACTTTCAAGTGAACACCTGAAGAGGGTTTGATGTTGAAGCAGAAAGTGAAGTGTATCACCCTTTTTCATTTTGAACTCTCCCATTATAGGCTAAAGAACAAGTTGAATATTCACTTCAGAAACACAGCTGGACTGAAAATGAAACCTTAACTTAGAGAACCAGGACAGAAAGAAGACTCAAAGACGTATTAACTAACAAAAGTGATAATGGATAAACCTTAACTTCTAGAGGTTTTGCCTTTGTTCACTGCCTGATGGTCACCAAAAGACAGAGCTACCTTCACTAGATTGGATGGGGCTTTCTTCATTCTGGGGCAGTTGGGGCTCTTAAGGACAGAGGCAGGCAGCTATTTCTTCCCTTACAAACTCTCTTCCTCCACTAAGCCAAATTTCCCCATTTTGAGGAGT